CAGGAAGGATATTTGAGACTGGGCCTGAGGAAAAAAAATTACTGATAATCATGAAGAATTCTCCACACTAAATTTGCTGGGAATTTCTGCAAGAATCTTTGGGTCTTGTTTTCTGTGAATGAACTTACAGGATTGTTCAGAGAAAAGCTTAAGAAAAGCTCACAGCTTATTTGTAGAATGTTGTATTTGCTGCAGTAGTTGTGTGTATTCACCCTAGAAATGCAGTCTGTATTAGAGCATGGGCTCGAGACCTGAAAGAGCCAGATGTAACTCCCTACCCTGACAGGTATTGTCTGTGACCCTCAGCAAATCTCATAGCTTCTCTGTGCCTCAGATATCCATTGGTGAAATCGTGTAAGTTTCTATGAAACTTACAAAGTTTATAAGGAATGCCTAGAAATGGATTACTCCAACTTTTAGCTTATACAGTACAGTCGCATCATACGCGCATTTAACTTGCACGAATTCAACTATATACGGAGTGGGGCGGGGCTTGAGTTTGCAGCGGCGGCAGGAGGTTGTGGCAGTGTGGTGGTGGCCGGGCGGCACACAGCCATCCCCACCACCACCCCGCGCTGTGCCGCTGCAGCTGGCTGCACAGCTCTAAGCACGGCTCCGCGGTGGCGGCAGCAGGTTTTGGAGGCAGAGGCAGTCACTGCTAGTCAAATCGCTGGCAGGTAATATGCAATTTAACTATACGCGATTTTTGCCTTACGCACTGAGTTCAGAACCTAACCCCTGCTTAAGATGCGACATGCCTGTAGGTCCATCTGAGAGCTACATCCTCTTTCCCTTATTTCCAGCTTTAGCTTAATTTTTAATTAACTGTCTCCTTTCCACTATCAACTAAGCTATATCTGGAACTTTGCTAAGTACTGTTGTTTTTTTCTTCTACAATAGCAACACAAACCTATCTCTTCTTCTCTGTATTCACTAATGAACCCATAGTCTATGCTGTGGTCACCCCCTGCTAGTTGGTTCTAACCTACTGTAAGGAAATTAAGGATGCCTCTTCATCTTTTGTTCCATGAAGATTAGCACCTCACTACCCAGGCCTCTGTGGGGAGTAAAAATCTCATTGGTCCTGCTTATACGTAGGTCTGAGGAACATATGATAATTTCCCTGTCACCTTAGACCAACAACTTCCTGGCACTTGGCAGGGGAAAGAGGGGAGGAGTAACAAGAGGCCCACTGAAAGGTAGGGAAGAAGCAGTAACAACTTGGTTGTAGGGAGATATGACTGGTTGTGGCTGTGTGAGAAGAGCAGAAGGAAGGCATATGGATTGCCTTAAAATTTTCCATCAGGCAAGAAACTGTCTAATGTGTCAGGGTTTTCCATTAGTCAACCCCTCCAGTTTGTGTCAGGGTTTTCCATTAGTCACCCCCTCCAGTATCTCTTTGCCTGCCTGTAGCTCCCCAAAACCTCTCCAGTTCTGCTTTGCTGTAAAATCCAGGAATGACTTAGGTACTTTTTAGTTGCCCTTCATGTAAGACTGTATTCTGTATTTATACTTACTGAGATGCATTATGGTTAAAAACAAACAACTGGTATATATCAGAGCTGATTTTCCCACGTTTGACATACATTAAAATAGGCTCTGATAGTTGTTTACATATGCAGTATGACTACCAGTTAACTCTGATTAGCCCCAAATGTCCTGGTGGAAAATTATTATTTATAAGTAACAGGTTCTTCACTTGTACTAAAGGTGGGACAATGGGTTTGTATATCTGTAAGATCCCAGAATAAAAGACTTATTTTCCCTTGGGGAAATCAGTCTTGTGTTTATGGCCTGAGGGTGTGAATGGCTATAATACTTAAAAGATGTTTAATACACTTTAAAACCCAAGGTACCTATACACGTGCTTGGGGGTGAGGAGGAGCTGTTTTAATTAGAGCAGTTCCCTGACAGCCACTTTAATTAAAATGGCTCATCACCATGTGTATTAAGCCCCCTGCATTTTAAAGCATCTGTGTGTTGGCTTTAGTTAGAGTGCCCCTGCAGCCATTTTAAAACATGAGGGAAGGGCAGGGGAGCTTAATACATGCAATGGTGAGGCACTGCTGGAGTGTTCTAATTAGAACATGAACCAGCACATCTATAGGTAGCTGAGAAGCCTAAATGTGCAGGCCACTTCATTTCATAGGTTTCATAGACATTAGGGGCTGGAAGGGACCTCATGAGATCATCAAGCCCAGCCCCCTGCCATAGGCAGGAAGTCAGCTGGGATCAAGTGACCCCAGCAAGAAATACATCCATATGTTTTTTTAAAGTGTCCAGAGTAGGTGCTTGCATCACTTCTGGGGGGAGTTTGTTCCAGACCTTGGACACTCACACTATAAAGAACTATTTTCTTATGTCTAGTCTAAACTGGCCTTCCTGGAGTTTATGGCCGTTAGACCTTGTTATCCCTTGGGGAGCCCTGGTGAACAGCTGTTCTCCCAGGTCCTGATATACCCCTCTTATGTAATTGTAGGCTGCTACCAAGTCCTCCCTGAGCCTTCTTTTTCCCAGACTGAAGAGTTCCACATCCCTCAGCCACTCCACATGTGGCCTGCCCTCCAGGCCTTGGATCATATGAGTGGCTCTCCTCTGCACTCTCTCAAACTTCTCCACATCCCTCCTGAAGTAGGAGGCCCAGTACTGGATGCCGTACTCCAGTTACGGTCTTACCAGGGCTGGGTAAAGTGGGAGGATGACTTCCCTGGTTTTGCTTAAGATGCATCGGTGGATGCACGCCTGAGTTGGTTTGCTTTGCCAGCCACAACATCCCATTGGTGGCTCATATTCATCTTGTGGTCAATCAAGACCCCAAGTCCCATCTGGTCATGGTGCTAACAAGCGTAGCACTGCTGAGCCTGTAAGTATGTTGAAGGTTCTTCCTACCGAGGTGCAGCACCTTACACTTCTCTACATTGAAGGCCATCAGGTTTTCGTCAGCCCAGCTTGAGAGTGTGTCCAAGTCAACTTGTATCCCCAGCCTGTCCTGCGGTGTGACCGCCCTCTCCCATAATTTGGTATCATCTGCGAACTTTGCCGGTTCACATCTGACTCCTGAATCCAGAATGTTAATGAGGATGTTAAAGAGTATCAGGCCAAATACAAAGCCCTGAGGGACTCCACCGGTCACCCTGCCCCACGTTGATTTGCTCCCATCAACTAGTACTCTTTGGGTCCAACCCCATAGCTAGTTACCTAGCCATCGGACCATAAGATGATCAAGGCCACAGTTCCCCTTTAGACTGTTTTTAAACTTTCTGGAACATTTCAAAAACACACTGGGAAAATGGAGTGCTATTTTAAGCTGGTCCCCCTTGATCCAATACAATGTTATGTGCAGATACAGTGCATTTGTGCCTTGTGTCTGGTCATTCCTCCAGGCATCCCACACTGCACTACTCTTAACCCATACACCCCAGTGCTTAGAACTCATAAGCAGTCTACATGTGGACACTTCCTTCTAGGAACAATTATGAATTGGTTTCCAGTCAGTGACATTCTTAGAATGATTCGAGTGGTACGTGTGTCTGCACCCTAAATATTCATCTTTTAGTCTGTAGTGGATCCGGTCAGTAACTGTTTCCTTTTACTGTCTCATTTCATTAGGTTAAGATAGATGTCTCCTCTTTGTTCTTCCCAGTACTTCAGTTCTTAATATTGCATTTATCTTCTACATAGTACAATGCAGTGGTTAGACAGTAGTGCTTTGAGGCATGGCAAAAACAGATACACTCATTTTTTCTCCTGTTTTTAATTGCCTAATAAGAATAAAACCCAGTAAAACTGCATTTGTAGAGTACATCTCTGCAATGCAGTAAAAAATAATAAATATACCCTGTTGAACCTCAGAAATTATTATGGTCTGGTAATATTTGAACTGGAAGCCTTAGGAAACAGTGAAATTCTCCAAGAATATGCCAACTCCACCCACAATGCACCTGTTTCTGTGGAGGGAAGGTTCATCATTTGCACAGTCTTGTGAGTGTCAGGGCTGGAGGTGAATAATCCTTTGATATCACAGATAAACAGCTCGATATATTTTGATATGGCCTCTTAGAAGGAACTGAGGTGGAGCGAGGTCTTTTTTCTTTGAACCCATGCTGTGTCCTGGAAATGAAATAAAATGTAAGACACATTAGAGAGTATGATTCACTGCCTCATGGTCCCAGCATGAGTTTTCTAACTGGTGTCCTCATCTGCTCGAGACTGTCAGGTTCAGAATCACTACTGGTGAAACGATTGGCCTAAACAGTGGTGGTATTTTTTACTACTTCCTTTATGCATTCACTCTCTTCCTTTTGCCTTCAAGTAAAGCATAGGAACAGCTGTACTGTACCCTTTTCTCAGCACTGCCAAGGTTACAACGTAAACTTCAGCAGAAAGTGTATCACTTCCATCTAGGGCTGTGCGAGGCTTGGGACAGAGCTTTGGATCCGGAGAAGCTTCGGATGCTTTGGGGTCCGAAGCAGCATATCTGTGTCGAAGCACTGGCCTCGTTCGGCTTCCTGAAGTGGTTCGGAGCCTCTTGGCGATCTGGCCATAGGGTACAATGGGGAAACAATAAAATATCTATAACTTTGGGGTTTTTTTGTCCGATTTGGATGAAAT